TGTCGTTGGGGTGCATAGGCATGGGTCCTCCTGCTCCTGGGCCTGGGATGGGATGCATGGTTGGGAGGGGGTGAAGGAGCGAGTGAGTAAGTGAGCCAGCAAGTGAGTCTGGCAAGCCATGTTGCTGAGGCGAGCCAAGGTATACGCGAGGGACTGCTTTCGCCCTCTTCGTTTGCAGTGACAGAAAACAACACCGCCAAACACGGGCTACCACCCACTCACACAACCTTCATTGCCAACACATTCCTCCATTACCTGCTCCACTCCCACACCCACCCACAGAGACCACACTCGCTACACGCAGGTCACCTCCCCACACAGACAATAGGCAACCATGGCTGATAGTCCAGACGCACCCTCCAGCGAGCATGTCAAGCCCCGCGAGGTCCCTTACTGCGGCTTCTGCTCCTTGCCCCCCGAGTACTGCGAGTTTGGTCCTACACTTGACAAGTAATGGGCACATGTCTTTTCATCAGCGTTCACCTTGCTTTGCGTTTTTGTTTTCAAGCTCTACAGCCTAGACTAAGGAGCCCTGCTCTATGATCGAATGTTCAGTTCTTGACCAATGCTTGTATTTTTTTTTTTTTTTTTTTTTTTTTGTTGACAACGACGTATGGATGATCCAGGTGCAAGGAGTGGTTGAGCAGGAACGACAAGGTGCTTTATGCTATTCTGTACAATACCCTGGAGGACCAATTGGCTGCTACATCCATTGGTGGAGAGGGCAAGCCAGAGGAGGACAAGAAGAAGGCAAAGGGTAAAACAGAAAGGATTGAATGCCAGGGATATTAGATGATGGATTGCCCACAGAGTCTTTATTGATCTCAATCCACGCTCGCGCTAATGCTTTTGTCAATTATAAACACTTCACTTTGCTAACACGATAGAGGCCGCTAAGATTGAGAAACAGATGCAGAAGAAGATGGTATGGAGATTTTTTGCATCCTGTAACCCACCTCGAAAAAGAGGACACAATCGGGAGACAATTCCTTAACATCTTCACTAACACATTCATCTTTATTTCCCCCCTTCATTCCGATCTGTAGCAATCCAAAGTCCTTATCAAGAGAATTGAGCGTACAAAGAGAAAGTGCGTTACCAGTGTGTTTGGATTGGAGAACTTTGGTAAGTAAAAAAAGGCTACGATTTGTTTCTCGACCATGACTTTTTTTATCCTTGTTTCCGCTGTCTTGTATGTCTCTAATGTACCACCTTCCTTTAATTGTCTCTTTTTTCCCCCTTCTTTTCGGCATTCCCTATAGATGTTGACCTTAAGAAGGCTGCCAAGCTGTTCGCCAACAAGTTTGCTTGTGGTTCTTCGGTGACCAAAAACAATCAGGGCAACGACGAGATTGTAGTCCAGGGAGACGTGTCGGACGAAATTTTCGACCTCATTTTGGAGCATTGGCCAGTCATACCAGAAGATAATATCGACCTGATTGAGGATAAGAAGAAGGGCAAGTAGGGAAGCAGGCTGAAAGCAGGATGCGAGAGATATTTACTTGATATCTCGCGAGAGCGGAAGGATGGCCTTACCCTGGATGATTGCAATAAAACTTACGTATTCAACTTTGTGTGATGATTTGAGAGTTCATGGTGAGGTTGGGAGGTGCTGTTCACGAAGAGGCGTAGCCATTTTTTGTCAGAATGCTACAGGCGTTATCTCCTATCACTTCTAGAAGAGGATTCGGGCGTCGAAATCTTGCTTCCTTACGCGGCGTCGACGACTTGACTATGATTTATATTCTCTGCAACTAACAGAAGAAAGACCAACAGTGGCCATCGTCTATAAGTGCCCTTTCTCTACCCAGCAGAAGAAGGATCGAAAACGGCGATCCTCTTTACTTGTCACCAGGCGCGCTCCTTCTTTCCTAGAGAATATTGTGGCTTGGCATCCTGTGCGTTGTCTTTGTGCTGCTACCCATTGATGCATCTCTCAAAGGTCATGAAAACGTCCTGAGCATCATGTCACAACCAGCACGGAGGCAAGTCGCCAAAAGTAATTCCCTTGGCCCAAAGCCATCTGTCCATAATGCAAGTGACAGCGGTTTCCAGGGCCGACGGGGTGGAGACGGGTTTGTAAAAGGTGCGGAGAGTAAGGAGAAGGCGCTTACTCGATGCGATCCTTCCAAGGACTCTGGAACAACTCGAGGGTCACACAATCCCAATGCATATTTCTGTGCGTTCTTTGCCAAAGGATGCTGTCCTAATGGGTAAAATAACGAGAAACACCCAGATACAAAGTGCTTTTGTCTGCTTCAAGTCATATTAGAAGAAGAAAGGATCACATCGTAACTTTTTTTTTCTCAATCTAGGGCCGACTGCTCTTGGCTGCACCGAGTGCCTTCGCCCAAGGATCAAGTCGATACAGGGATGGATGTGTTTGGCCGCGAACGGTTTGATGAGCACCGAGACGACCGCGGTGGCGTTGGATCTATACAGTCGGATAGTCGAACATTGTACGTGGGCAGGATCCGCACGACGCCTGATATGCAGGCCATTATCAGGAAACATTTTGCACCATGGGGAGAGATTGAACGGATAAAAGTTCTGGAGGATAAGGGCGTCGCGTTTGTCACGTATCAGAGTCGACTTAATGCAGAGTTTGCTAAAGTGGCTATGGCGAATCAATCGTTGGATCATGCAGAGGTAAGCAGGATGGCAAAAAAAAAAAAAAAAAAAAACGAGGGCGAGCCACGTAAACAGAGGGGCGACTGAACTGAACTTTTGCTTTCTTCATTTTTATCAGATCATAAATATCAGATGGGCCACGGAAGATCCAAATCCGAAAGCGCAAGCATCACAGAAGCGAAAGGCCGAAGACTTGACAAGGGACGCAATCGAGGCGAGGCTAAGCACCGATTTCAAAGAAGCACAACACCTTCCTGGATCTGAGGACATTGACACATATGAAGGCGGACAACGGCAGAGACAAAAAGTAACAAAGACAGCTGACAATGCAGGAGACGTTCAAGGGCTAGAACCAGAGTTATACATTGGGGCCGATGGACACTACTACTATAACTATGGTGATTATGGATACAACCATGATTTGAAGCAGTACGATCCTGCGCGCCTGAGTCAACAACACCAAGGATATGCAGGTCATTCAGGTGTATCTTCACAACAACAACAACAACAACAACAACAACAACAACAGCAGCAGCAGGTATCTTCGACGCCCTCGCTGCAAGACCGCGTCAAACATTCACTTTTGACGTTTGCTCAGAGCACTTCAGATTCGACGACAAAAGCTGATACAAAAGCTGCACCCACCCGATCAGCCTTAGCTGATCTGACGGCATATGGGTCAGATTCCGACGAAGACAGTGAATGATAGGATCGAATAAAACATAAAACATTCTACAGTGCCTTTATTGAAGAAAAAAAAAATCAATGGTCATCTTCAGTCTCTCCAGGACAGTTCTCTGCTAGATCATCCGGTCCATTGTAGAGTGCAGAGCACCAGAAGCAGTAACTGTGTTTGTCACGAAGGTACTGAACGACTGCCTCAAGCTTTTCAGGAAGCTATACGTGAAAATGCAGGAAGAAGAAATAAAATGATGAAGGGTTTAGTACATCTGCAAACAGCATCTACAACATATACAAAAAAAAAAAAAAAAAAAGTACCTCTAGTCGAGCAAATGCAGGTCGTTCGCCCCAGTTGGGCTGCTCCAGTTCTTCAAGATCATCCTGGTGGCTCTTATCGACATCGGCGTCTTCTAATGTTGTAGATAGTTTTATCCGCTTCTCTTTCTTTGATTCCAGATCTCCATCCTCATCATCGCTATGGTCAAAGGCGCGCTGACTCACAATCCCATGTTGCTCTCGACTGCTTACTTCAGCACCTGGCCCCATCATCCTAGTCCCCAGCAGCTCATCAGGCACTGAATCTGCGATCCACCAAAATGCATTTGACCGCCCGATATCTTCTGGTTCAGTCTCTCCTGCTTCAGCCTCTCCTGCCTCAGCCTTACGTTTGGCAGCTCGTTCGGCATCCATGCGCATACAAATAGACTGAGCGGCAGTCAGCTGGCGTTTTCTCTTTTCCTGTTCAAACTGATCCCGTTTTTGTCCACGATAACCCTGATCATAGACACGATGCGCATCATCAGCGCGACGCCGCATTGTCTCCTCTGCTTTCCGCTTCCGCTCAGAATCCATACCTAGTCCACCGCGTCCCAGTTTGATCTCGACTGCCAGTGGTGTACGCAGCGCGTGCTGACGATCCGATACATCATGCTTCTCGGGATTCTGGCTATCTGATGCCGCAGATGATGATGCAGTCTGATCCTCGTGAGAAGGTTTTACAGCCCCTAACGTCCCGCCTTTTCTAGAGCATTATCAAAAGTAAAAAGGTGTCTGTTTTAGCCACCCGTTCTGTCATGGATCATAGTGAATAGCGCTTCACAGTGTACTCAATAACAAAGAGGGGACAAAAAAGAAAAAAAAAATAATTTCAGCCTACTTGAAGCCCATTTTGAGTAGCATCGCCATGCCCTTATTGTCTTCCCCAATCTCCTTCTCTAGACCTTTTTCGCGCGCTTCCTTTTCGCGGACATGAAGCGGTTTGGGTAGATGGGCGAGGTGCTCCAATTGCTTCTGTCTCCGCCTCTCGGAGTAGGTCATGGCGTTCTTTCTATCGTCTTGTTCGTTACTTTCCTTGACAATGTTGCTCAGGAATGACTCTGACATGTAGTCCTCCTCCTCCTCCTCCTCCTGTACATTACTCATGTTGAATAAAGTTTTTTTTTTTTGCCAACTAAAACCCACGGTACTCATGTGGATGAGGAGACAAGACTGACATGAACCGACCACACTCAATGCGACCTTTTTTTTTTTTTTTTTGGCAAACGGCCCAAAAAGCAACCATGCATTTGAAGAAACCTTGCATTTTAAAAAACCTTGCATTTGAAAAAACCTTGTATATATGGAAATATCATGTGGGAAATATAATATATCTGAAAGGATTGAACTTCAACTTGTCAATTACCAGTGCGGCCCGGCTAGCTCAATCGGTAGAGCGTCAGACTCTTAATCTGAAGGCTGTGGGTTCGACCCCCACGTTGGGCGCAATCTTTTGCCGATGCAATCAAGAAACTTTTTGCTGTAACATGGCATTCACATCTATGCCTCTGTTCCTTGACATCTTTGTTTGCTGTTGAGCTGATACTCTTTTTTTTTTTTTTTCTTTCATTTATTTGATATGGATAAAGAGCAATGAGCAAAAATTTTCTTGACCAATGCATTAGCGATATTAGCGACGACCAGGGCTGCTTGAACGGCCTGAACGACGTCCATTGTAACCACCTCTACTGCGGGTATTGAACCCCTTCCGTCCGCGATCATCGTTGCCAGTGGGCTTTACAAAGGCGAAATCGCAGGTCAACGTCTGATCCAGCAGCTTTTCTCCGTTCATGTCTGCAATGGCTGCTTGTGCCTCTTGAAGCGTCTCATACTCAATCAGCGCATATCCCTATGTTTATACACACATTGTTCGTCAGTTGTCTTTTCTGAAAAAAGGAAGTGAGCTGCCGATGTAAAAAAAGTCGTTCCTAATGGTGTACCTTGACATAACCTGTACGGCGATCCAAGTTCAAGTGAATGTTCTTGAGTTCTCCAAACTCGCCAAATTTATCTTGGATATCTTCCTCGGTGGCCTCTTCATGAACCCCTGTGATCAGCACAATCCAGCCCTCGATAGCTAAGGTACGTGAAAAGGACAGATGAAGGGGCCATTAGACATTTTTCTTTTGGAAAGTATGCAAGCCCTTATCAGCAATCACTCTGACTTACACTTTAAAGCCCTGCCGGAGGCACTGTCATCATTTGAGTTCAACTTTTCAAATGAGGTGCCATGAACACCATCGCCCCTTTGATCTGATCCAGATTGAGAAATGATAGTGTTTGCAAGAATCAGTCTTCGACTTTCCATAAACGTTCGACATGTTTTTTTTTTTTTTTGTATCCACATGCGCTCCTGATTGCTACATGCTGGCTGTTACCTCCGCTTTGAAAGCCGCGTCCTTTCCTCTTGATAGTGATCTCGGTAGCATCTATATATCCATCAGCACCATGTCAGTGACCAGTGTTAGATTTTCCTCAGCTTCAGTCGTTTCATTGTATGTCAATTGTCCTGTCTGCTAACAGGGGCGCTGAACTTTTGTAGGGATGCACTGATGCACTCGAAAGAGTCTCATGCAGATCGAGAGCCTGCAAGAGTGTTGATCTCATGTACACGCTACAAGGGTCCAGTCGTGCGCCCCATTACAGATCAGGCAGCACTATTGCTCTCCATTGTATGTTGTCCGTGCAGAAGAAAGAAAAAAAAAAAACTCATTACCGCCCATCTCCTCATCCTGCAAGTCGTCGCCAGGCTTCACACTGAGGTCGATGGCGTATTTGTCAGTCATGGCGTGCTGTTGGTCTGAGTGCGGTTGGGTCGAAAAGAGTGAATGAATGAACTCATGCTAACTCTCTCTGATGTGTTGCAGGCCTGGCTCCTCCACGTCACTTTTGACTGGTTATATTTTCCTTATTCGGCCCTTTAATCGGGTCTTCTTACAGCGCATGCTTCTTTTTGTCTCCACTGAGCTCCTTTCATTCATTCATTCATTCATTCAACTCCACCATTCTCACTCATTCGAACAGCATGCTTCGCAGTATCACCAAGACACCCCGACTGCCGCTTTTGGCAGCTGCTTCTGTCCTCAGGACATCTAGTCTGGTATACTACTCGCGCGCCTCTTGTCTCCTGGAACAGCATACGACGCATGGATAGCGTCAGAACTGAAATAATCGGGTTGTCGCGCGCGCGCGCAAATGTTCTAACACAACAACTTCTTCTTCTCTTTGTTTGTCAGGGCGTCTCTGCGCCTTCAGCTTTGATCGCGCGGCGATCCTACGCTACACGCTATGGTGATGACGGTGGATACACAAACTGGGGTGGAGCCACCGGCAACACACGGAGATCGCTACCCATGAACACGGTATGAACTCATAGGGAAGCCGGGCGAAAGGAGGTTATCTGTGGGTTCTCGATTTTGTTAATTAATAGGGGCTGCAAAGACAACTGACGTCTCGGTATACTACTTTTGTTTCTCACTCTGCATTTATATATTCTAGCTTATCAAATTTGTGCCGCAACAGGAGGCGTGGATCGTGGAGCGTATGGGTCGTTTTTCGCGCGTTCTGGACCCTGGCCTTCAGATTTTGATGCCCTTCTTGGATCGCGTCAAGTATGTCAAGAGCCTGAAGGAAGTTGCTATCGAGATCCCGAGTCAAAGTGCAATCACTCAAGGTATTTTTTTTTTCACCACTATTTTCGTGAGATGGAAGGGCACTCAGGATTCCCTTACTTTGTGTAAGCACGGTTGAAGGGCCACGATGGTATATATTCATCCCTCAATAATATGATTTTTTAAATGCATAGACAATGTAACTCTGGATTTGGATGGCGTGCTCTACTTCAGAGTTGTGGACCCTTACAAAGCATCCTATGGCGTCGAGGATGCAGAGTTTTCTGTCGCCCAGCTTGCCCAAACCACTATGCGTGCAGAGATTGGTCAAATGACTCTGGATCGAACGTTGGCGGAGCGTGCTCATCTGAACGCCAACATTGTCGAGGCCATCAACACCGCAGCAGCAGATTGGGGAATTCAGTGCCTTCGTTATGAAATTCGGGACATCCACCCACCTGCCAAGGTTGTCGAGAGTATGCACCAGCAGGTGTCTGCTGAACGTACCAAGCGTGCACAGATTTTGGACTCTGAGGGTATGGTTTTTTTTTTGTCATGTTGTATTGCTTATATCTCTACTTCGTCTCATAAGCCTGCCAGGGAATCCAATAACTAACTTGCTCCTTCTCTTTTTTTTTTTTTTTTTTTTTTTTTGCTATTGCAGGTTCTCGTCAGGCGGCCATCAACGTTGCCGAGGGTCTCAAACAATCGACGATCCTTCAGTCCGAGGCCGATAAGGCGGAGCAAATTAACAGGGCTACTGGTGAGGCAGAGGCGATCCTCCTCCGTGCTCAAGCTAGCGCGGAGGGAATTCGTCGTATCGCTGAGGCCATCACCAACACGCCAGGTGGTCACCATGCAGTGTCTCTCACGGTCGCAGACAAGTATGTCGAGGCATTTGCGCAGTTGGCAAAGGAGAGCAACACGTTGATCCTTCCTGCGAACGCTAGCGACGCCTCATCCATGGTCGCTCAAGCCTTGACCATCTACGACGGTATCACCAAGAAGCGTGGTATTGTTCCTGGCCAGGCAGCATCGAATTCCAACAGCAGCCCTTCATCTTCACAGTGAATAGGGAAAAATGGAGTGTTGGCAAAAGTAGCAATAAAACGAAATGTATAGCGTAGTTTTGCCCGCCTCAAGGGCTGCTTCTGAACACATCATGACCGGAGTTCGACTGGAGAAAAACAAGCGACAGTAGTCGTATTTAATAATGTGCATGTTAATCTTTCTGGTGCGCGCGTGCGGTTTCTACCTATCCTATTTTTCTTTGCTGGGGTTGAGATCCATCTCACCTCTTAACCTGCTTCCGCTTTCTCTTACTTCTTCCTTGGCTTGATGTCAGATTCCAAAACGGGACAAAGCATGATCGAGTTCTTTTGGTCCGCTGGCGCACCTGTGTATCCTTTACTCCAGTCATAGCTGACAGCGTAAGCGTAAATAGTTCCATTCCTGTTGAACGCAGCCGTCGAAATAGGGGCAGGCTGCTTGTTGAACACCTTGAGCTTTTGCTTCGAGTCCTTGTCCCAAAATGTGAACCCACCATCCGATCCTGCCGTCGCGAACGTGCCGAAAACAGGATGAAATGAAATGGCGTTGACTGCATACACGGATGAATCTCTAGCTGCTGGTGCTCCATCACGGTGGCATTTGAACGAGAAGTTTCCTCTAGAGACAAGCAAAAGAAATAAAAAGATGTTGGTTTACTAATCAATGTCAAGATGTGCCAGGCTGATCCAAAGGAGCGTCAAAAAAAAAAAAAAAAAAAAAAAAAAACCATCAGTTGCGTACTGGCTGTCCTTGATATCTGTGTATTGAATGGCAACTCGCCCTTCAATGCTTCCAACTGCAAATCCTCCTCCTGTCGTAAAACACGATACCACACGAGTCTGCATCTTGAGTGGACTCTCCATGGTTCTGAAGGGGACTGCGGGGTTGCTCATATCAAACATTGTAATCTGACGGTCCGCCATCGCCGCAACTAGCAATGACCCGTGGGTATCCATAGAATACAAGCGATCGCTCAGAGCAACCGACGATACAGGGCTCTGCTGACGAAGGTCCCAGTACTACGAAAGGAACAAAAGAGGAAAACAGGATCCTGTTAGGTGCAAGTGTCGAGTACGCTACTACTATATAGAACGGCCATGAGCTCGATCGCCCAGCCTTTGGTCCTATACATCGTACCTTGATAGTTTTGTCCCAACTTCCAGTCGCCACAATGTTGGGCCCATCAATCCAACGTAGACTCTTAATAGGAGCGTCGTGTTTAGCAAATTGTGTTGGCTGACCTGAGACCAGGTCAAAGAGTCTCCCTGCATTATCCGCACCTCCAGATGCAAGTTTCGATCCATCCTATTATCATGAAAGTACGAAATGATGTATAGATTGAGCATCAGGCGGATGACAACTGACATCTAACCTCCAGCACAAGCAGGAAACCTTTTTGGGTATTTATTTTGTAGGTCATAGCATTGTAACTTACAGCACTCCATTGACACGTAAGAGCAGGTGCTTCGTGCGAGTACATGGCCTTGGCCACTGTGCTACCATCTTGCATCACTTCCCAGATACGGACCTATACCGCATCGCCATTCGTGTTAGTTTTTTTTGCTTCGCTCCCCAAACACGACGTAGCGCATACGCGACGCGTGGCTGCCACGATTCGTACCTCATTGTTCCAAGAAGCAGCCGCAAGGAGATCACTGGAGCGTGAAAATGAAAGGTCTGAGATGCCGTCGGTTGGCGGCGCTGTCACCTGCAACAAACACAACCAGAGATCGCGAAATGTCAGTTGCATGGTTCGTGTTGCTCCATGGTAAACCCCACTGTAAG